CTGCTGGTGCCAAGAGTGTTGACCATGGAGCCAAGCAGACTAAAGTTGTTAACAATCTCAATCTCTTCATCATCCATCCTGATGCATAGTGTTTTTGCACAGTTGACCTAATTTTGTCAATTTTTTAACATCTCTTCAAGGATATTATAACTTAATATAATGTCAGATAAAGATAATACAATATAACAGTATAAATATAAATAGATTATAAAAGAGACTATCAGATAAAGAGAATATAATTATTATTCAAAGATAATATAACTTTTGGTCATACTGATTTTTCTCAACCATTTTTCTAGTCCTCATTTCATTTTATTTCTGCCTTTGATCTTCATTATTTCCTTCCTTGGCTTGCTTTTGAATTACTTTGCTTTTATTCTTCTTGTTTCCTAAGGTGGAAAGTTAGGTTACTGGTTAGTGACTCTTTTTTCTTACTATTATAAGCATTTATAGCTACACATTTCTTGGTAAGCACTGTTTAGCTGAAGTCTGTAAGTGAGGTTTTTACCAGATTTCTAAAAATTATCTTATTGTGGTTAAAAAAGTTTACACATATAACAAAATATTTGCCAGTGAACACTTTTTAATATATAATTCAATTAATCAGACATTGATTATACTTTTCTTGTTATTCAACCGTAACTACTATTGTTCCCAAATTATTCCACCACCATGAACAGAAATTCAGTATTCCTATAGAAAACTAGAAATTCATGTTTCTACACAAACTAGGCTCTGATTCATAGCAACTCTATATACAACTGAACAGAACCCTTCTCCGTCTTGCGTCTTGCACCGTCCTCACAATCACTTCTGTGCTCGCATTGTTGCAACCATCTTGCAACAATGTATTAATTAGTGGAACTATACAATATTTGTCCTTTTGACTTGTTTAACTCAGCATGTATTTAAAAACTTTTATTGTAAAAATTCACTGAGGATCTTGTCAAGGTTCATCTGTGTTGTAGCATGAATCAGAACTTCATTTTACTTTATGGTGCAGTAATACTCCATTGTATGTATGTGCTATATTTTGCTTATTTGTTCATATGTTTTGGACATTTAAGTTGTTTTCAATTTTTCCTGCCGTAAACACTGGTACACATCCTAAAAATATTTTGGTATGTTGTGCTTTTCACGCATCTCAATGTATTTTTCCTTGGTGGTTTTTTGGGTGTCCCCCCCCCCCTCGCCTTAGACCTCTTGGTTATTTAGGAGGTTTTTTTACTTCCATATATTTGTGAACTTCCTAAACTTCTTTCTGTTCTTGACTTCTAATTTTACTCCATTATTGTCAGGACACATACTTGGTATGATTTTAATCTTTGCAAATTTATGGCCTAGCATATGATCTATCTTGACAAATGCTTTTGATATACTTCAGAAGAGTATGTGTTCTAATTTTTCTGGGTTTCTGTTTGTGGCCAAAACCTCGCCATTCCTGTGAAATCAGACTTCCAGTGACCATCTAAGAGATGGTAGGATTGTCTCACAGGGTTTCTAAGACTAAATTAAATATTTTTGAAGTAGACTGTCATATGTGCCACCAGGGCTTCTATCTATAGCTATCAGGATGCTATTTGTTAAAAGAAATTAGTCATTGGATATTGCCTGATTTATTACAAATAGCAATGACTTAACATTGTTTAAATACACCATATTTAAATCAATCCCATATACCATAATTCAGATATAATATTATTAGATGCTATTAGGTGTTGTCGAGTACAATTCATAGCAATTCTATGAAAAACAGATCCAAAGCCTGTTTTATTCTGTGCCATCCTCACAATTTCTGATATACTAGAGCCCATTGCTGAAGTCACCATGTCAATGTATCTGGTTGACCCCTCCAAGAATGATGCCCTTCTCATAGCAACATGTCCAAAGTTTACAAGACGAAGCTTTGCTATCCTTGCTGCTAAGGGGTACTTTGGTTGCACCCTCTCCAAGATATCTGCTTAGTCCTTTGGCACTCCATGGGATGTTCAGTACTCCTCTCCAACTGCATTGTTCAAAGGCATGAATTTTGTTCTGTCAAGGTAGATTATTTTTTTAAGCAGATTCTTTATGCTTGGTTCCCTAAGGTTGATTTTTCCATTATATATGTTTAATAACTTCCCCATATATTTCCTGCACAGTACCCATAACCCATGCAATAGCACTGCACAGTTTAAAATCAGGAAAGGTGTGCATCAGTACTGTATCCTTTATCCATATCTATTCAGTCTGTATTGTTGTTGTTATGTATCATCGAGTCGCCTTCGACTCATAGCGACCCTATGTATAAAAGCCCTAAACCCTGCTCTATCCTGTGCCAATCTCACTGTCTCTAACATACCTACCCCTATTACTCCAATCACTGAATCAATCCATCTCATTGAGGGTCTGTCTCTCCTGTGCTGTCCCTCTACCTTCCCAAGCATTACGTCCATTTCCAAGGACTGGTCCCTCTTTGAAACATGTCCAAAGAAATGTCAGATGAAGCTTCAGAATCTTTGCCTCCAAGGAGTATCCTGGTCTTACCCTCTCCAGAATGAACCTGTTTGTTCTCTCAGCAGTCCTTGGTATATTTAATACTCTTTTCCAACACCACAGCTCAAAGTCATCAATTCTCCTTCTATCATCCATAGTCATTGCCAGCTCTCTGATGCACTGCAAGTGATTGCAAAGACCATGGCCTGTATCAGGCACACCTTAGTCTCCAGACTGACATAGTTGTTCTTCAGTACTTTGGAGAGGTCTCTGACAGTAGATGTTCCCAATGCAATTTGCCTTTTAATTTTCTAGCTGGGGGTACCAAGAGTGTTGATTGTGGAGTCAAGGAAACTACAGCTGTTAACAATCTCAATCTCTTCACCATCTATCATGATGCTCCCAATTGGCCAGTGGTGAGAATCTGTTTTCTTGGTGTTGAGCTTCAATCCATATTGAAGGCTGCAGTCCTTGCCTTCTGTAGTATGCTGAACAAATTATTCAAGAAACTTTACTGTATGAAAAACATCAGGATTTGGGGAGGACTCATTAATAATCTGATTACCTACACAATCTTGCTTGCAGAAATTGAAGAAGACTTGAAGCACTTACTAAAGAAGATCAAAGACTACAGTCTTCAATATGGCTCATATTCCAGCATCAAGAAAACAAAAATCCTCACCAGTGGGCCAATAAATAAGAAGCATCACGAAAGATGGAGAAAACAATGAAATTGTCGATGATTTCATTTTACTTGGATTCATAATCAACATATATGGTGACAGCAGTCTAAAAATCAAAGGATGTACTACACTGGAAAAATCTGCTGTCAAGGACCTCTCCAAACTGCTAAAGAGCAAGGATGTCAGTTTAAAGACTCTGATGCACCTGATCCAAGCCATGGTGTTTTCAATTGCTTCCTATGCACCTTAAAGTTGGTTAATGAATAAGGATGACAGAAGAGGCTTTGATGCATTTGAGTTGTGATACTAGAGAAGAACATAGAATACCCTATGAGCTACCAAAAGAACAAATAAATCTGTATTAGAGATGTGAAATCAGGGCGCTCCTTAGAGGCAAGGATGGTGAAATTTTATCTCACTTATTTTGGGCATATTTTCAGGAAGAAGCCTTTAGAGAGAGATAATTTTGAGAAAGGTAGAGGGTCAGTGAAGAAGGGGGAAAATGTATCGCAACAGTGACCACCACAGTGAGCTTGAGCATGATAGAGCTCATGGTGATGGTGCAGGACAGGGTAAGGTTCACATCTGTTGTGGGTCATTATGGATTGTAGTCAACTTACTGGCACCTAATAATAACCAACAGTCCAATACCCAATTATCCCAACCCTCCTCCACCATGACATTTATATTATAAGTAACTGATGGTACTAACTGAAAAGTCTTGGAGCAAGATATGGCAATCTCCCCTTATCTATCTATCTATCTATCTATCTATCTATCTATCTATCTATCATCTCTATCCATCATCTATCTATCCATCTATCTATGACTTAATGGCAAGGAATTGTGCTACAACCACAAAGGTATGCAGTGTAAATTCACCAGCTGCGCTGTAGAAGATGGACAATTTCCTCCCTTGCAAATTACTGCCTCTGAAAATTCACTGGAGGGTCAGCTATGAGTTGATTCCAACTCAACAGTACACAACAACAATCTATCTATACCTCTCCAAAGTGCCTACAAGTGCTTAAGGGGATCCATGTCTAGACCAAAGTGCACTGGAGCCAAGCTATGGTCTTTTCAGTTACTTCCTACATACCTGAAATTTGACAGTGAATAAGAACAATGGAAGAAGGATCAATGCCTTTGAGTTGTAGTGTTAGAGAAGAGTACGGAATATATCTCACGGACTGCCAAAATAACAAGCAAGTCTTTCTTGGAGGAAATGCAACCAGGGTGCTCCTTAGAGGCTAGGACGGTGAAACATACTTTGGTCATGTTGTCAGGAGGATCCAGTTCTTGGCAAAGGACACATCATTTTGGGAAAAGAGGAAGAATAAAAAAAGAAAGGAAGATCTCCAAGATGGATTGACACAGTGACTGTACTAACAAGGGGCTGGAGCATATGTGAGCAGATTGTGAGGGTGGCACAGGATAGGACACGGTATCAGATCTATTGTCATAGGGTTGCTATATGACTCCTAGCTGACTGGATGGCACACAAAAACAACAACAATAACAACAACTATATTCCATTTCCCAGGCTGTTAATAGCCTGGGAGGAGATTGCCTGTCTTTCTCTTGCAGAGCCACCTGTGGATTCAAGCCACCAGAGAGGCTAGGGCAACTATCAGGTGGAATACCACTGAAGAACAATGAGTTTGGTTTTGTTTGTTGTGTTTTTTTGTTTGCTTGTGATGTTGTCATTGATCACTTTCACTGACTTTTCTATTGATCTGTCTTTCCTGACAGATCAGTGAAAAGAGCACCTATTCTCAGACTGGTGTCAAATTCTTTTAGCCTAGACAGTTCTGGGAAAGGATTGGGCTACTTGCATGTAAGATGGCAGGCACTAGTGAAGATTCACAGTTAACTCTTTGGACCTGGTGTCTGCGGCACTGGAAGCCTGGCTTGAATGGTGAGGATGGGATAAAGGTTAGGATCTGGAACAGAACTGGAGTTGTCTGGCCAAGGCTTGGCTGGGCAAGAATAAACAGCCAATCTCTACCTCACCTCAGGCTGGCTCCCACGCTGACATGTAAATTTGAGATTGTGTTTGCACATCGCTGTGCACATTGGTTTCAGGGGCACAACCAAGAGAAGGTGGAGTGGCTGGGGTATGCAGTGGAGGAGTATTTCATTTGCAATGATGAGTTGCTGTGAGCTACCTGGACCTGTGTGAGGGGAGATGTGGGAAAGAGAAGCCTTGCCCTAGGTATCAGGCAAAATCAATATCTTAGGTATGTTTAAAAAAAAAAAAAAACAACCCACTGCCATCGAGCCAAATTCTGACTCATATCTGACCTTCATCTGGTTTCTCAGGCTGAAGATATTAGTAAGAGGAGATGACCCATCTTTTTTCCTGTAGAACATCTGTTGGATGTTTTTAGATGCATAGCAATGCTATGAACAGCTGAACTGAACCCTGACCTATCCTGTGCCATCCTCACAATCTTGGATACCCTCATGGCCATTGTTACAGTCACTCTATCAATCCAACTGGTTTAGGGTCTTTCTCTCCTTCCCTATCCCTCCTACCTTCCTAAGCATGATGTCCCTCTTCAAGGAATAATCTCTCTTAGCAACATGCCCCAAGTATGTGAGACTATCCTGCACCATCCTCACAGTCTTTGATATGCTCCAGCCCCTTGTCACAGTCACTGTGTCAATCCATCTTCTTGGAGATCTTCATCATCTTTGCCTCCAAGGAGCACTTTGGCCGCACCTTCTCCAGGACATATCTTTTTGTTCTTTTGGCAGTCCATAGGGTATTCAGTAGTGTTCTTCTCCAACAACACAATTCAAAGACATCAATTCTTCTGTTATACTTAGTCATTGTCCAGCTCTCAGATGCATTGCAAAGTACCAAAAAGACTACGGCCTGAATCAGATGCACCTTAGTCCTCAAACTGACATCACTATTCCTCAATGATTGGAGAGATCCCTGACTACAGACTTTCCAGTGCAACACATCTCCTGACTGCTAGTACCAAGTGTATTGTGTGTGAATCCAAGTAAGATGAAGTCTTTGATAGTCTCAGCCTTTCCTCCACCTATCATGATTTTTACTATTGGTTCAGTGGCTACGATTTTTGTTTTCATGATGTTGAGATGCAATCCATATTGATGGCTGCAGTCTTTGATCTTCTGCAGCAAGTGATTCAAGACCTCCTTACTTTCAGCAAGCAAGGTGGTGTCATCTGCGTAACAAAGGTTATTGATAAGTCTTCTCCAATCCTGATGACACATTCTTCTTCATAGAGTCCAGCTTCTTGAATAGTCTTCTCAGAATACAGATTAAATAGGTATACAAGAAAAGATGCAACCCTGGCACATACCTCTCCTAATTTTAAACCATACAATGGTCTCTTGCTCTGTTTGCACAACTGCCTCTTGGTCTAGATGGATATGAATGTCTAATCTTTCACCCAGGGATGCTTCTTCTTGTCTGAGAATTATGGGGGTTGGGTGGGGAGGAGATCCAGCAGAGGACCTGTTGCATAGATAGTATGGGTTTTACAAAATCCTTCATTTGTTCTTTAGCTTTGGAAGTGATATTAAGCAAAATTATTTTCCCACAAATTTATTATCTAGTGGAGCAGAGTGATGGGTATTCTGATAAAGAGAAGCTCAAGATGACAGTTGTTGTGTGCTGTAGAGTCAGAACCAACCAATAGCTGACCCTCCAGCAGGTTTTTTGGGGCAGTAAATCACACATGAGGAGATTGCCCAGCCTTTTCCCTCAGAGCAGCTGGCAGATCTGAACTGAGAGCTTTTGGGATTGCAGCACAGCTTCTTACCACGAGTACATAAATCAAGAAGCAGTTATCCAAACAGAATAAGGGAACACTGCATGGTTTAAAATCAGGAAAGGTATACACATTGATTGTTTCCTTTCTCCACACCTATTCATTCTATATACTGAGCAAATAATTTGAGAAGAAAGACTATATGAAGAATTAGAATTTGTAAAAAGATTCATAAACAAGCTATAATATGTGGATGACACAACCTAGCTTGCAGAAAATCAAGAAGACTTGAAGCACTTACTGAAAATCAAAGACTACAGCCTTCAATGTAGATTACAGCTCAACATCAAGAAAACAAAAAATTCTCACCACTGGATCAACAGGTAACATAATAAAAGATAAGAAAACATTGACATTGTCAACGGTTTCATTTTACTTGAATCCATGATCAACACCCATGGTACCAGCAGTCAAGAAATCAAAAGATGTGTTGCATTGGGAAAATCTGCTGTCAGGTAGCTCTTTAGAATACTACAGAATAGGATATTAGTTTAAAGTCTAATGTGCACCTGATCATAGTATTTTAAATTGCTTCCTATTCATCTGGAAGGTGAATAATGAATAAGGAGGACCTCTCCAAAGTACTGAAGAGCAATGGTGTCTCTCTGGAGACTAAGGTGCGTCTGATACAAGCTTTGGTCTTCCCAATCACTTGTTATGCATCAGAGAGTTGGACAATGACCAAGGAGGATAGAAGGAGAATTGATGCCTTTGAGCTGTGGTGCTGGAGAAGAGTATTGAGAATACCATGGACTGCTAGGAAAACAAACAGATTTGTCCTGGAAAGGGTTAAACCGGGTGGCTCCTTGGAGGCAAGGATTCTGAGGCTCCGTCTAACATACTTTGGACATGTTGTGAGGAGAGACCGGTCCTTGGAGAAGGACATCATGCTTGGGGGGGTGGAGGGACAGCGCAGGAGAGGAAGGCCCTCTATGAGGTGGATTGACTCAGTGACTGGGATAATTGGGACGGGAGTGTCAGAGACAGTGTGATTGGCACAGGACAGAGCGAAGTTTAGGGCTGGCGACTCGACGGCACATAACAACAACAACAACAACAAAGAAGAATCAATGTCTTTGAACTGTGGTGATGGTGAAAAGTATTGAATATTCCAGGGACTGCTAAGAGAATAAGAAAATCCATTTCAGGGGAACTAGAGGCAAAGATGGCAAAACTTCATCCCATTTACTTTGAGCATGTTGTCAGAAGGGGCCAGTCCTTAGAAAAAGATATCATGCTGGGAAAGGTGAAGGGTCAGCTTAAAAGAGGAAGGCCCATAAGAAGATGGACTGATACAGTGACTGTATCAATGGGCTTGAGAGTGTTGGAGATCATGATGATGGTACAGGAAGAGGGCAAGGTTTGCTCTTTGTTCACAGGATTGTTATGAGTAGTGGTTGACTTGATGGCACCTAAGAACAACAAAAAGTACTGCTAGACAGAGAGCAGTCTGTTTTGGAAACAAATTTGGGGGATATTAGAATAGAGTGATGGAGTTCCCTAGGTGGTGCAAATGGTTATCAAACAGTTGACTACTAGGTCGCCAGTTTGAACCCATCCAGAGGGGCCTAGGAAGATAGTCCTGGCAATCTGTTTCCAGAAGATCACAGCCCTTGAAAACTCGGTGGAGCAGTTTTATGCACTCATGACATACATTGAATTAGGTTGACAGCAACATACAATAAGAGGATAGAGTGGTAGGGAAAGCCAAGGGCATGAATGATCTTTGTCAGGCAGAGGATATAGAGTGACCTCTTACCTACACCACTGGTCTGTGGCCTCCTGTATCAATGAGTTAATTGTTGTGAAGGGTCTATACCCTCCAGAAACTTCAGTCCTTGAATGATGATCTCTCTTATGGCAGTCATTATTTTGGACCTTCATGGATGGCACTATTGGCCACATCTTACAGATGATAAAAATGAAGATCAGAAAGAGTAAGCTGCTCATAGTCACATTGGAGACTGGAGAAAACAGGTCCTGTGAATGAGAGTGAACATGAAACTAGAGTCTGGGAGTTGTGTGATAGAAGGTTTGGTAGGATGTGTGAATATAAGAAATTAAGTATTAATAATTAGTATTTATTTTTTTAAACAAAACAACAAACCCACAGCATAACCTGTGTTAAGATTGAAAATGCAGAACACTTCAGTGAATAAAAGGCTCACTAACCAACCAAGTTGGACTCACGAAGCAAATATTGAGGAATAGTAGACAAGGGGGATAAGATTGGGCCCTATTTTTCTTACTCAGCTGACTTGGGGCTAGATGAAGTTGAGGATTTCCTTGGAGAACGCATGACCAATAAATTTGGTCCAGTTATGGAAGATGATAGTCTGCCCCAGGTAAGGTTGTTGGGAATACAATTAACATCTCCCTACCTATGCCCTTTTCTCTCCCTAATGTTTTGGCCCACACTTCTGAGTCCTGCATAGAAGTCTTCTATGGCTCTCTATTGCCAGAGGAAAAGGTATTCTTCCTAAACCTTTCCAAATCTGCCCCTTTCATCCTTTCCTAATCTCCAAAGTAGATTAAGCCAGATATATTTCTATCTCATGCTCTGGCTTCCATCTTTCCTCCCCCCTTTACTGATATGGCTTTCTTTTTTCTCTCTTCTTTCAAAGTCATGTTCTTAGGCCTTCACCTGAGCCCTTCATATATGGTTGCTTTACAGATTAACTCCTTGCAGATGGAAAAGTTATCTTTTGGAAAATCCAATGCTCTTCCTATTCTTCATATAAATGAGCTGGTTATACAGTAGGTTCTTTGAAAAATGCAAGTTGGTTGTTTCCCTAGTAGGTAAGCCAGCAACTGCAGATCTTGTTTCATCACTTTCAGAGGCATGCATGATGGTACCACTCTGAGGAGATGGATTCCCATATCACCCAAAGAAAGTACAGGATCACAGGCCCTGCATTTACAACAGAGAGACCGATGAGGATGAGGATGATGCAGACAGCATGGAGGAGGATGAAGGTGAAGGGATGTCCTTTAGGGAGAATGCAAGAGTTTTCAATTTTCTGAGAGATAGCTGGTTTCACAGAGAAAAGATGAAGGGTTGGTAATGATGGTAGTATTATCCACAGAGGGCAGGGTACTTCCCAAGGCCACACATCAATTCTAGCAAAGTTAGAAGCAGTGCCTGGGTCTAAAATCACTATGGCTGGATGATGTTATATTTAGCTCTGTTTTGTATTTCTCTTTCCGGTCACAACTATGAATGATGGAGTAGCTACAGATGTGATCTGTCCCCATCCTAAATCCTCTGACCCAGATTCCCAGACTATTAAGGAAGAGGATATAGTAGGCGATGGCTGGACCATTGTTCAGAGAAAGAAATAACTGAAGATGGAAATGATTTAGGCTCTTGTTCGCTAGTTGTTTTGAGACTTGTCTTTAAAAAAAAAGATTGTAGACTTCTTCACTGGTTATCCCAACCCCACAGCTTTTCCCCATCTCCTGCTCCATTCCCTTCACAGGAAGAAAAGTCCTTGTGTGCTGAGATGGTGAGAACAAGTCCACTCACTACCCCCTCTCCCCACCCAACATTTATTTGCTACCTGAGTGATGAGGCCATGTTTCTTAGCACTGCCAGTATCTGTTGGGTTCAGTCACTATGAAAGAGAGATGAGTGAGTGTGGATAGAGGAGCAGCTAGACATGGTTGACTAGGAAGGTAGATATGTGAAGGAAGTGGACAAGCAAGAGAACCAGTACTCAGTGAGATGAACACAAATGATTGTATAGGTATGTGTCACTTAATGTCCATTTGGACAAGGTCTGACTACATATGCTTCTGAGGTCCCATAGGTTTTTCTTTTTTTAAATGGAAAGCAGCTCCTCTTGCAGCATAGGACCATGAATGAGTAGGATACAGGCAGGTGAGGCAGAACATGGCTCTAGGCACGGACTCTCAGGCATTGATTGTCTGGCAGGCTGCTCTGATGGGCAGAACAGCAGGTGGAGTTGAGTGTTCTCTGCTTCCTTTATTTCCATTTATTTCACTCCTGCCACACAATTCTTTCAGCCTCTGCCAGCAGCAGCAACGATGATTGCTAAAAGTGGATTTTGATATATTTGTACAATATCCAATTCATTAGCATATTTCACAGAATGTATAATGGACATTAAGTGAGACATACTTTTTATTATGGTATCCCCTGCCTAGAACTTGAAGCCTCCCAGAAATACTCCCTTTCTCTATCCCAGCCTCTGGTCCTGGATTCTTTCAGAAATTCTAAAACTTTGGCCAGGTGATGAGCTTATGAGAGTTGGGATTTCCAACTCATCTCATACTATTCATACCATCCCAATTAAGTTTAGGGATGAGGCTTAAGAGCTCAGGAAATGCGTTAATATTTAGTGTATGACTTGACCAATAAGTAGATTTGGTAGCCTATTAGAGGCTGAGATTTAGAGCTCAGCAAGGAAACAGTTTGGTGCTTTGGACAAACAGACAAAAAGAGCATAAAAGGACTCTGGTACTTTCTGTAAATCTGAAATAAAGTGTATTTTTCTTTAAAAACAAAACAAAGAGTATCCCTTTGTTCTTCCCACCCTCTCTCCAATCCCCTGTCCTGCCCAGTGGCCCTGCCATGGGTCTAGATGATAAAATACTGGGTAGACTTAGGGCTGGGTCCAGGCTATAAGCCATGAGAGAGGCATAGGAGAAGTCCAGTCATCATCCACACTGAGGCATACATGTGAAGATGCTGGCCATGGGTCAGTGGCAGAGCTGGAACTTGAATACATGTCTCTTGCCTCCAGTGCATTGAGGAGAACTGGGTGGGGACAGGATATGTAGGATTTTTTTAGGGGGCTGGAGGTCACATAATGACCTAATTCAGCCTGGTCTAGCAACAGTTCTTCTGATGGAGGAAGATTAAAAATAGTAAAATCACTGTAGGAATGTTTTTTAAGCCTATATTTTGTGAAAAGATGAATTAAAAAAAAAATCCAAAGCCCAGCATTCGGGATTGAAAGTGCCTGTGATGGGAATTCAAGTATTAAGTTGGAAGGAAGGGGATTGAAGTCTCTAGTTGGATATGAACAACTAGTGTATAGAGGGCTTTGAGTAACCCCTAACTCCTCTAGGTCTTATTTTGGGTCTGAGGCACTTTGAGCGAGTTCATCAGTGCCCTCTAAAGTTGCCACTTGTGCCTTCTCCATTTCCCTGTCCTTGGAAAGCATGGACCCTGGGCAGAATGTGTCCCCACGGCCCGCCCTCCCAAGCACAGCCATCCAACGTCTTTGCAGTTCCTCTGTCTCAGGGCTGAAGTACCAGCTCAGGTGGCTCTGAGTTATCTTGAAGACGTGACGTCTGTCAGGCCGCTCCCCTGCTTCAGGAGGTCCCACCTCAAAACCAATGAGGGGCAGGCTGCGCTGGGCTTTCACATCCTAGGGAGCAGGAACAGCTTGAATCACTTTGGGTCTTCCTCTCTGATGTTTTCTCCTCCCTTTTCCTTACTCTAATCAAGAATCTGCTGAGGGTATACCATAATAGGAAAATGTCTGAACTGTTGTTGTCAGGTGCCATCAAGTTGACTATGACTCATAGAGACCCTATGGACAATGAATCTGAACCATGCTCTGTCCCACACCTGAACTAGTTTGCTTTAAATATCCTTTTATTCCCACCTCAAAAACAGCTTAACATGCATGGAATAATTTTCAGATATTTGTCTAAGCTATTACTCCATCTACATGTGCTTCCCCACTCAAATTTGACCTAGCCCAGTCCTCTCAATTTACTCCAACTTACCCTGCATACCCTGACCCACAATCACCCATTGTCTCTACATAGTCTTTGTCTTATGAGGGTGAGGATCAAGGAGAGATCGCATGGAGGACTACAGTGAGAGGGAGACAGCCTAGCTTTGCTAAAAAGACCCAAGGTTTGGAATAGGATTCACACCTGAGGGGCTCCATAGATGTACAGCACCAAGGGTTCATTCTCAGGAACCACGAACCATGCTTTATGCCAGCCTTTCCCTCCCTTCTCCATGTAGTGCAGGAAACTGCAGATAATGCTGTTCTCTGCAGCCACTGAAGCCTGTTTCTGTGGCCAGAGGCCAAAGACATGAAGAGTAATCAATGTTTCTGGAAACTGAACTTGTTTCCTCTTGGCTTCAATAACCCCTCAGTAGAGATATTGCTATTTCTGTCTCAGATGAGAACATTGAAGCTCAGATGGCAGGAGTGATTTGCCCAGGTCACCCAGTGATTTGGGGAGTCAGGATTCAAAGCTAGGCTTCCTGCTGCCTCTAATTACTGGTGGATGTGGTATAGAGATCTCATCTAAATATATAATTAGGCATTCTCCAGTCAATCCATTTATTCCTGAGGTCATTTACACATTTATACCTCACCTTCTTTTGTCATCCTTGTTCACATATTCTTTCTCTACATGTAAAGTGATGTGTAGCTTATGAAGGTAGGCGTAGAATCCTAGCTTTAGATGAAAATTTGTTATCAATTTAGGAGATTATTGTGAGGATGAAATGGATTACTACATGAAAAGAATTTTGAATAGTACCTGGCACAAAGTAAATACTCTTTAAGTGTTAAATATCTCTATTTGGTAAAAAATAATAAAAACCATGCATTTGTGTATATTCACAAGCAACTAGAAAAATGGGGATAATATTGGCAATCTGACTAGAAGGAATATGTTTTATTTATACTCATTTTCTTCAGTGTACACATCCTAATATCCTACTGAGTAATAATAAAAGGTAATTTGTTAATTTACATTCCAACTCTACCTCTTAGGCAAATAACTTCCCTGGGCTTCAGTTTCCATATGTGTAAAATAGGATAGTAATACAATTGGTAGATTAGTTACTGTGAAGATTAAACATAATATACTTAGGTAAAAATTACTGTCATTCACACACACTTGTACTCATCCATTCCCATCACTGGGTCACTTGTTCAACAGATGTACATGCTACCCCAAGTGTTCTGGGATGCCCAAACCTCCTCAGTTACATTGGGTGGGAAGCTGAAGTCCATGTGTTTGGTATGTAGGGGTTAGATGAAGGCCAGGATCTTACCTCCAGGATGGACCTCCGACGCTGAGGTATATGCTGGCTACAGGCTGGGTTACTCCCAGGCACCCCATGCAAGGCCACATAGCAGTCGGTGCACACGCGGTTCGAGCGGTTGTTGTCATAGATGAGGCGAGCCCGGAAATCAGAGCATTTCCCACAAACCACCTGGGTGGCAGGTGGGCAAAAGCCTAATTTGGGCAAGCTTTCCCCTTTATTGTATCCTCCCATAGTGAACTTGCAGCCTATCCTCACTTGGAGGGTGCCACTAAGAAGTGGGCTTTTGAACTGCCAGCCTGCCCCCTCCCCAATTCTGCCCCTATTTCCCAACACTCACATGCCCACAGGCCTTGCAGTGATGCCTGCGTTTGGTGATGGAATTAAAGGGCTCTTGGCAGCGCATGCACATGGTGACTTCCTTTTCACGGATGGGCGTAGGTGCCCGCTTTCCAAGGTCCACATTCTGGGAGAAGGTAAGAGATGACTGTACTCCTGCTCAGTCTAACCAAGCTTTTACCCTCTTCCAAGGCATGTTCAGGAAACCTGCCTCTACCTCATTGTTCAACTGAAAAGAAATAATTTCTACTCTGAGCTTTGATTTTCCCAGCGATTTCTCTGTAGCCCTACCAATAGAAAGCTGCACTTCTGGAGTTATGTATTCATTGTCTCTGTGAAGAGCAGAGGAGCATTTCAAAGTAAGAGGTAACTTACGAGGCCTTAAAGGGGCCTCAAAGCAGGATAAGGGGGAAGAGATTCTTACTGGAGACTTGGGGGAGACGTCTTCATCTTCCCTGTTTGTTGAGTTTAACAGTTTAAATGTCTCCAGAGTCTGTTCATGCTTCAGGAGAGTGGAGTTGATGGCCTGGGGAGAGGTAAGAAATGACAGAGCAGATGAGACTCCCAACCAACTCCATTTCCACCCTCATATACCCTGGCCTAGAATATAAAAATGTTGACTTTAGATCTAGATATGCTCCTGCTTGGTATATATATATATATATATCTTTGCATAAGCCCCTTCCCAAATACAGGTCTCGATTTTTATATTTGTGAAATGAGAGAGGAGAGTAATGGCAAACAAAGCTCAGAAGGGCACTGCCTTGGTTTAAGGTTTTACAGAGTTTGATTCAGTGGGATTAAACCCTCAAAAGAACCAGCTTTCTTTGGGCCTCAGTTTACTTATCTATAAAAGAGGCATGGTAAAGTTTGTATGAAGGTAAATGTCCAAGCCCATTTTAGTGAGATGTGAGTTTTGAGAGACAGTCCACCAACCCCTAGGAGACCTGTTAATACTCTTACAGTCCCCTACCACAAAGTCTTCTTAGATGTTACCTGGACCCAATCTTTCTTCTCTTCCTCGGTCCTTAGGGTGGGGGCAGAGAGGAAAAAGAGACGTTATATTAGGCAGGACAATAAAAAGCAGTCGGTGTGGTGGGTATTTTGAAGATAGACGGACCTGAATTTGACCCTTTTGTTCTTTCACTTAAGATCTTGGGCAGGTCACTTAACCTGAAGTAATTGTTGTGTACCATCAAGTCAGAACTGACCCATAGCTAGCCTTTCAGCAGGTTTTCAGAGGCAGTGGAGAAGACTGCCCATCCCTCTCCTGTGGAGTATCTGGTGGATTTGATCTGTGTGCCTTTAGGATTGTAGCACAGCTTATTATCACTAGGCCACCAGAGCTCCCTACTAATTCAGTAGTTACTAATACCTTTCAGACCCTTTGCTAAAAACTTGGGCCTCAGAGATGATCTTGCCCTTAAGGAGCTTATAGTGTACTGGGGGACAGATGTGTAATAAACTATAGCATAATATTAACACCTGTAGAATCTAAGTGAGTTTATAGATGTTTATTGTACAATTTTTTAAACTTTGATGTATGTTAGAACATCTTCATACAAAACTTGAAAAAATATATAAATTTGTGTACTTTGTGTATGTTTATGTACCTATTCATAGAGAAAAGGCCTGAAAGGGTTTTATTGTCTCACAAATACTGGTTATCTCTTGAGTGGTAAAGTTCTGAGGGGATTTCACATTATTTTTACTATATTGTTTTGTTTCTTTTTTAAAAAAATACATCATTTATTCTGTAATAGTTACAAGAGTAATAAATATATTTTTCTACTTTGATTTATGTTCCAATCATTATAAAAAGTATCATCAGCTTGGAGAAAATAGAAATTCTACAGAAAATTAAAGGACATATTGCGATGGGAAAGTCTGCTGTTAGGGACCTCTCCAAAGTACTGAAGAACAATGGTGTCACTCTGGAGACTAAGATGCATCTGCTACAGGCCATGGTCTTTTCAATCACTTGTTATGCGTCAGAGAGTTGGACAATGACCAAGGAGGATAGAAGGAGAATTGATGCCTTTGAGCTGTGGTGCTGGAGAAGAGTATTGAGGGTACCATGGACTGCTAAGAAAACAAACAGGTTCATCCTGGAGAGAGTTAAACTGGACTGCTTCTTGGAGGCAAGGATTCTGAGGCCTCGTCTGACATACTTTGGACATGTTGTAAGGAGGGACCGGTCCTTGGAGAAGGGACATCATGCTTGGGAGGGTAGAGGGACAGCACAGGAGCAGAAGACCCTCTATGAGGTGGATTCATTCAGTGACTGGAGTAATTGGGGTGGGTGTGTTGGAGACAGTGTGATTGGCACACGACAGAGCAGGGTTTAGAGCTGTTGTACATAGGGTCGCTATGAGTCACTAGCAACTCGACGGCACGTAACAACAACAGAAAACTTATTTCCTCATGTCTCCTCCTTTGTTCATTCTTACACCTGACTGATATTCAGTCAAATGAAAACGATTAGTCACAGCTGGTTTTTTCTGTGAACTAAAAGAATGATGGGCATTCTTATCCACTATCAAATCCACAAGAGGCTTTGAAGGAGAAATAGGAACCCTATCCTCTCATGTAATTTATAACCTGGGACAACTTGAAAGAAGGTCAGCTATAAGTTACTTCCAACTCCATACCAATATTTTGAGTCGGTGAGTTTGTTGTAATAGATTATAAAGATGAATAGGCATCCTTACATCTATTCATTACTGGTGCCTTTCTCTTTTTTCTTTAAAAAAATCTGTATTAAGAGATGCTTTTAATTTTACGGTGATATATACTGAAGTATCAAGGAGTGGATTAGCAAAAGACATATTAAAGTATATATGATAAGATGTTAATAATTGTTGACTTTTACATTTTGTTATTAATCCGAGTGTACACTGTTCACATTAAAATCACCCAAATTCAGGTTATACTGAAGACCAATTAAGTCAGAATCTCTGGAGGTGGATCTCAGGCATCAATATGATTGTAAAGTTTCCCAGCTGATTCCAGTGTGTGTTGACATCAAGTAGTTTAAGAGGTAAACATATTAGTGCTTGCTGTACTATTTTTATTTTTCTGGATATTTAAAATTTTTCATTTAAAAAATGTGGGCTATAGACTTAATAGAAACAAGATATCAATACCACCCAAAGTTATTTACAGATAAAATGCAATTCTCAAGATTCAATTTATGTACTTTTTAGAAATGGAAAAAAAACCCTAATCCTCAACTTAGGTGGGAAGTTAAGAGACCCTAAAGAGCCAAACCCATTTTGAGAAAGAAAGTACCTTGACTTCAAATTGTACTACACAGCCACAGTAATCAAAACAACTTGGCATTGCTTTAATGATAGACACAGAACAATGGAATATAATTGAAAATCAGTAATTAAATCTAAACATCTATAGTCAATTGATTTTTACAGGGGTGCTAAATTTATCCAACAGAGAAAGAACAGTATCTTTAACAAATGTGCTGGCAAAACAAGATATATGTAAAAACTAGTTCAAATGTTGAATAGGAACCTAAACTACTGTGTAAAGCTTCACTGAGAACAAAAATTATTATTTTTTAAAAAAATAAAAGGCAGTAAAAGCAACTGTTTAGCAAACCCTCAATGCCTTCCCTCTGGAGGAAATCCAACACTACTCAGTGAGTCTGTCTGGGCCCAGGTTCCCTCAGCAGCACCTCCTCTTTCTCATTTCAGTGAATGTGTCCCCAACATGTGGTTTCTCTGTCAAATTCCCTTGAGATTTACTTGAACCTTGCACCTGCTCTCTCTCCAAAAATACCTGCCATCTGTTTCATATTCACTTTCCTCACTGCAGGTCTCCATGATGTTCTCAGTCTCCCTGAGCTTCAAGGCCTAACTCATAGTTTGCTTACTTCACGGGAATAGTCTCTAGCCCATACTTATTTCCCTTTCTGGATTCTGCACATTCCCAACAGAATTCTGCCTTTCATTTCCCAATTTCTACTAGCCTGTCAAGAGCAGATCACCTACAGATGGCTCTGACATTGATCTCATACCCTATTACTTGGTCTTTCATAAAGTAGCATGTGCAGTGGTTAGAAGCACGATTGGCTTTAGGGACAGAAAGTCTGAACTTTAATCCCAGAACCTTTCTAGTTGGGGGACCTGGGGAAAGATGTTTAATTGATTTGCATCTAAGTTTTCACTTAACAAATGTGGACAATATTGAGAAGAATGAGTATCCCAAAACACTTAATTGTGCTCATGCGAAACTTATACATAGACCAAGAAGCAACTGTCCAAACAGAAAATGGAATGCTATTCCATACCTATTCAGTCAGTATGCTGAGCAAATAATTTGAGAAGCTGGACTCTATAAAGAAGGATTGGAGAAAGACTCCTCAACAACCTGGATTATGCAGATGACACAACCTTGCTTGCAGAGAGTGAGGAAGACTTGACGCACTTGCTGAAGAAGATCAAAGCCTTCAATATGGGTTACACCTCAGCATCAAGAAAACAAAATCTTCACCACCAGATCAATAGACAACATCATGAAAGATGGAGAAGAAAGAGAAATTGTCCCTACAACCAGGAGAAGATAAAATAGATGAATGGGACCTTCTAAGAATCAAATCCCTATGCACATCCAAAAACTTCTCCAACAGGGTAAAAAGGGAAGCCACAGACTGGTAAAAAGTATTTGGTAGTGACTGGAAAAAGTATTTGGTAATGACATGTCAGATAAGGGACTTATATCTGGAATTTATAAAGTACCTGAGCACCACAACAAGATACAGGTAAATAATCCAATAGAAAAATGGGCACAGGATATGAACAGACATTTCACCAAAGATTTCAGATGGCTAACAAGCACATGAAGAAATGTTCAAAATTCCTAGCTCTAAGAGAGATGCAAGTAAAAACAACTATGAGATATCATCTCACTCCAGTAAGAATAGCAAAATTTAACAGAACAGCAAGCAATAAATGCTGGTGAGGTTGTGGAGAAAGTGGAACCCTTATTCACTGTTGGTAGAAGTGTAAAATGGTGCAACCAATGTGGTATGGCACTTTCTCAAAAAGTTGCAAATAGAGATACCAGATGACCCAACAATTCCACTACTGGGAATATACCCTAAAGAGACCATAACTGACATCCAAGCAGATATATGCACAACCATGTTTATCACAGCTTTGTTCACAATAGCAAGGAGTTGGAAACAACCTAAGTGCCCATCAACACACGAATGGATAGAGAAGCTGTGGTATATTCACACAATGGAATACTATGTTGCATTGAAAAACAAGGAACTCATGCAATATTATTAAAAATGGGTGACTCTGGAGGACATTATGCTGAGTGAAGTGTCTCAATAAATACTGCATGGTGCCACTGTTGTAAAACAGGACTGACCTTGGGGTTGGGGAGAGACTGAGAAAGATGGGTTCAATAATGTATACTGCATTAAAACAGATGAGGGAGAAAACTGTTTAAAAGGGATATATGATTAGGTATTTTTGTCATGACAGGAGTCTAGAGCAAAGGCTACATGGTGGAGTGGACCTAGGGGAGGGTTTGTAAAACAATGAAAGAATTTGTCTTTTACTTTTCCAAGAGGTTAGTGTACTGGGGGGAGGGTTGGGAGGGGCAAAAGTACAACAATCAATGAATGGAAATCCAAAGTCTCTAAATTTTCACTGAAATTAAGAATAAATTTTTTTTAAAAAAAGAAATTGTCAATGATTTCATTTTACTTGGATCTACAATCAATGCCCATGGTAATAGCAGTCAAGATATCAAGACATGTGGCATTGGGGAAAATCTGCTATCAAGGACCTCTCTAAAGAGCAAAGATGTCAGCTTAAAGACTAAAGACTAAGGTGTACCAAGCCACGGTATTTTAAATTGTTTCCTATGCATCTGAAAGTTGAATATGAATAAGATCAAAAAGTCAATGCTTTTGAATTGTGGTATTGGCAAATAGTATTCAATATCCCATGGTCTACCAAAAGAACAAACAAATCTGTCTTGGGGGAGGTGCAACCAGGGTACTTCTTAGAGGCTAGAATGATGAGATTTTATCTCAGATACTTTGGGCATCTTATCAAGAAGGGCTAGTCCTTGGAAAAAGCCATGATGCTTGGAAAGGTCAGCAGCAGAGTGAATGATCCTCAATGAGATGGATTAACACAATGACTACAACAATGAGCTTGAGTATAGCAGAGATTGTGATGATGGCACAGGATAGGGAAATGTTTAGATCTGTTGAGCATAGGGTTGCTGTGAGTCATAGTTGACTTGGCAGCACCTAACAACAACAGCAGCAAGATAGGGTTAATGTTAACAGCTACTTCAAGTGTTGTTGTAAGGATTCCGCTATAAATTTAATGTAAAGCACAATTCCTGGCACAAGAGTAAGTGTTCATTAATTATGATAATTAAAATAACAATTTTATTTAAAAATTTAAGTGATTATTAAAATTATCTACGCAGACGATGGATATGAAACCATCTTTGTTAAATAGCCCATATTATTATGTTTTAAATTTTTCTCATGAAAATTTTCTAATATATAGAAAAGTAGACAGGACAGTACATGTACAATAAACACATATATCCACTACATAGATGCAATAACTTTTACTATTTTGCCACGTTTACTTTATCTGCATATAGGTATTTTTGAGATAATAAGCTAATTTAAACTACAGACATTGTGACACTTCACCCCTAAATCCTCAGTATACATCTTCAAAACCTGAGATCATGGTATGTGACCACACCACCACTACCACATCTGAAGAAATGAGCAGTAAATTCTCCAATATTGAGCTCATTAATATTCATATTTTCACTATTGTCTCCCAAGTGTCTTTTAAGTTAAAAAGAATTCAAACTCATTGCTGTCAAGTAAAGACTCATAGCTGATCCTTCAGCAGGTTTCTGAGGCATTAAATAGGAGGAGACTGCCCATCTTTCTTCTATAAAGCGGTTGGTAAATTTGAACCATTAGAGAGGCAAATTAGCAGTGCAACTTTTTATGGACTATGTCACCAGACCTCCCTAAGGGCTGTTTTTTCTCAAACTAGGTTCCTATCATTTGGTTATTATTTCTGTTAAATCTCTGAATTTAGAGAAAACTGTTAGTGCTTTTGTTATTCATGTGAAGACTATCCCCCATTTCCTTCTCCTCTAATGAAACCTAGCAGTAGAAATTCTCACTTTAATTGAGGAGAGTTTGTTCATTCCCCAAAAGTCTCACTTGATTGAAGTATTGCCTTTCTTCCTATTTTGAAGCACTCACCCTGAATTCAAGGAGCCTCTAGTCCTCAGGGATCATTCCTACATGAGAAGAGCAAGATCACATCTTCAGGAAATGAAACCTACCCTTGCTCTGGAACAATTCCTTCCCAGGAAGGGAGGCATGGTGTTAGGCCTGGAATGACTCAGCATCTGAAATGCAGAGGTATCTAGAGAAAAGGAATAGATAAGGGCAAGTACCTGGCCTGGAGCTCCAGGGAGCGCTGTTTTCCTGAAACCAGGAAGGTTCTAGGCAGATTGACGTTGGAGCTTTCCTTTAGCTAGATGAAGAAAGAAAAGAGCCTGGTGAGACCTACTGAGCTCTGGAAGACCCTTGCTCTCTCTACACACAAAGTCACACACAGAGAGACACAAACCCAGACTCAGACAGAAACGGACACACACACACACACACACACACACACACACACACACTTGGGGTCAAAGTCAGAATGTATATCTTTCTCCCAACACCAAGGCCCAATTCTAGGTCCACATTTGACACCTCCTAGTACTTACCTCCATGCCATCTACATCAATTCGTGCCCGTACACTGAACTTCTGGCCAAGAAGTCGCAGCCTGGGCACGCAGTAAAGGAGGCGGTCATTGAACTAGGAAGGAAAAGGTTTGGGATATACATACTGAAGTCCCATTGAGAGAGTGGCCCTTATGGGACTCTCGAACCTTAAAATTGAGGATGATTAAAGGTTGATAGATGGACAAAATATAGCTGAATTAGCCACTGAGGTCACAAGGATAGAATCTAGACATGAGAGTCATTCCTAGCTCTCTGACCTGGGTAAATCACATCTGGGGGGAGGGAAACAGTCCTAGTATATGTAGTGAAAATACAATGGGTTAATAGAGGAAAGAATGGTTAACATGAGGCACAGTCTTCAGTGAAAACCAGATCAATATATGTGTGGGGACATGGCTCACCAATAACTCCATGTCTGGCACTTACTAGTATAAGGTATCGATCTTGAGTGGTCCCATTCTTTGCTGACAACTTAAGGATGTGACCTTCTTTTATGAGCTCTTTGGTAGGGCTGACAATGTCCTCCTCACCCCCTAGCAGCTCATATACCTTCAGCAGCTTGTGCATTCGTTCCTGGCAGTAGTAGTGAGCAAAAGGCAGGGTTTGGGCTATCAGCCTCCTCAGATTCTCATGAGGGCACAAGCTCCCCAGGACAGAGACATAGGGCTAGCAGGTCACTCACCATCTTGCGGATGGCAGCATTGGAGTGTTCTGCTGCTGTGGCTATGAGTTCCAGAGACTCTGTTGGCAAAGAAAGGTTAGGTCAGTGGGAAGACTGACAATAACTTCTCTTGCCCTGACCACATCGCCTCATCCCAGAAAGTGCCATCCTTAAACACGTTTATAACATCATTTATAAGAAAACACAAACTCTGCCTCAAACTCACAATAGCAGACTCATAGTACATCGGAGGGGGGAAAAACCCCAAAAAATAAAAAATATTTTTAACAAGGAACAATTCTTTGCCTCACAATCCTGATTAGAGGAATAATGCTAAAAATACATGTTCTACATAGAAATATACATTCACTGCAGTGGTGTTTATAACAATGACAAACTGGAAACAAAACTGTCCAACTACAGGGGTTCAGTTAAATAAATTATTTATATAATGGAATATTAACCTTAACAAATGATACTTCTTAAGTAAAGTTTTTAATAATCTGAGAAATATGCAGGATATTTTTAAGGAATAAAGGATATAAACATATATATATTATAATCTCAATTCTGTGAATATACATGTATAAAAACCACTATGCAGAATATATGTCAAAATAGTCATTGCACTGCTTCTTTGGGGACCTAGATCACAAGTGACTTTATCCCCCTCTATTTCGTTACTTTTTCTGTATTTCCCCATGGTGAACAAATATCATCAGGAAAACATTTACATCCTCATATACTAAAAAGTCCTGCCCATGCTTAAAGTACAGCTGCAGTTATACTGCATCCTACTTTGTCTAATGCTGGATGTTTTCACTTAGTGAATACGATTGTAATGGACAAGCACAGGTCCTTCTGAAGAGGACCCATATGGTTTGCCAATCAAATCTTATTTTCCTAGGAGATGCTTTCTCTATGACAAAGTTTAAGTGGTCAAGAAAGTCTGAAGCTCCTGCCTTAACTCATACCTCAACATGCCTTTCAAATGCCAAACTCCAAATATCAATACTTAATCCTAGTCATTTTCCAGAGCTGTTTTATACACAGCTTACTTCTCTGTTCAATCTGTGAGTGATTCTTCTGTGTTTTAAAGATAAAAACCTAGCCCCTTAGCCTGGAATTCAAAGCCCTTGGTGAGTTGGCTTCTGTTGACCTCTCTAGCTTCCCCCTCTTGCACTTCCTAAACATGTATTACTTCATGTGGTAAATTTCTATCCAAGGCTTCACCAGTAAGTTGCCCTGAGTTTCTGGGCTGAATTTAGACCTTATGTGGATTCCCGCATTCTCCTTTGCTTTCCTTTGTACCACTAGTCAGTCCCTGGGTAGTGCACTTGACTACTTACAGAAAGGTTGATCGTTTAAATGTACTAAACAGTGTCTCAGAAAAAATAAAAAAAGGCCTGGTGATCTAGTTCTTAAAGATCATAGCCTTGAAAGCCAGTTTTTCTCTGGATACAAAGGGTGGCCATAAGTTGGAATTCATTTGCCAGAAACTGGTGGTGGTACTAATAGTCACACTGTATGCTCTTCTAACATTTATTTATCCATGTCTGATTCCTTTGGTAGACTAGACACTGCATCAGACATGGCCACAGTCTCATAACTCTCTCTAATACTACCAAAAAATGTTTTACATAAATTAACTTCTTTAATCCTTACAATAACCCTGTAAAGTAGGTATGATTGCCCCATTTTACCAATTAAGAGAATAAGACACAGAGAAAGGAGGTGACTAGCCTTAGGTTGTCTGTCTGGAAAGTGGTAGAGTTGGCATTAGAGCTGGGGCTGATCCTTTATCCTGTATTTTCTGCATTTTCTCACTCCAGGGTGAAGTGTATGCTGGAAGGGGCCAGGAAGAAGACTCTGGTCAGCTGTGGGCATAGAAGGTCAGGTCTGTGTAGATTGCTAGACTCAGAGGAATCTCAAGAGATTCTGTGGCACTTCCAGGGTCCAATGTGTGCAATCTGCCTCAGGATTAAGTGTTGGGATGTTATTCTAGAATTCCATTTGGGAGCTCAGATTATAGTACAAACAATGCTTATTGATATTTTATATACCTATTCCCTTGATGACATCTGATATAATAATTTCCTTAAGAATACCTTATAAAAGAAAATCACTTCCATGATGATATCACTTCCAATAACTTAAAAAGGAGTTTCATTAGGGGTATGACCTATGTGCACTATATATGTATGTCTGGTAAAAGCTCTCTTGCTTTTTGTTTGCTCTAGATCCTGGCTCATTACCATCAAATTCTTTGGACTTGAGTCAGTGATCTAACATATTGTCTGCCAATCTGGTATTCATCAACCTTCGAAGCCATCTGACCTGCCAATCTTGGGTTTATCAGCCCTGGAAGCTATATGACTTAGGAGAAGTCTCTCACTTGATGTTTGACCTTGGAATTGGGACTTGTCAGCCTCTATAAGGCTACAAGCCTATGAGACATTTCCTTAAGATAAATTTTGTCCTCACCTTCATCTATCTATCATGTGTGGGTATATATAATATCTCATGCAAGCAAAATATTGTTGAGGATCATTAAAAAATGGCTAGAACACTAGGCTGACAGGGTATTACCAGAAGTTCAAGCTGGTTTTAGAAGAGGTCATGGCACCAGGGATATAATTGCTGATGTCAGATAGATATACTGACTGAAAGCAGAGAATACCAAAAGAATGTCTATTTGTGTTTTATTGACAATGTAAAGGCATTTGACTATGTGGATCATAACAAATTACAGCTAACATTGAGAAGAATGGGAATCCCAGAACACTTAATTGTGCTCATACAGAATCTATACCCAGACCAAGAAGTTGTTATCTGAACAGAATAGGGGGAGATTACAGGGTGTGTGTCAGGGTTGTGTCTTTTCTCCATACCTATTCAATCTATATGTTGAGAAAATGTAAAACCAGACCCTATGAAGAAGAATGTGGCAACAGGATTGGAGGAAGACTCATCAACAACCTGTGTTAGCAGAAGACACAACCTTGCTTGCTGAAAGTAAGAACTATATGAAATGCTTGCTGCAGAAGATCAAGGACTACAGCTTTGATTATATGCATGGATTACATCTCAACATAAAAAAAAAATAAAGAATCAGGGGTGGATCTGGGCAAAAATACAGGGTAATGATGGGCAAGGCCCAAAAGTGATTAATTTTATAAAAGGTAATGCATGGAAATGATTGTATGAAATACAATGTGAATGAAGAATAGTGTGAAACAATGTATACAAACTTTGTAAGCAAACTAATAAAAAAGACAGAGAAAGAATCAACAGTCAGCATTAGGAGAAAAGATTGAAGCTGTCAATGATTTCATTTTGCTTGGATCAGTAATCAATACTCTTGGTACTAGCAGTCAGGAAATCAGGAGTGTATTGCACTAAGCAAGTCCAGTATACGGGACCTCTCTAAAATGCTGAAAAGCAATGACATCAGTTTAAAGACTAAGGCGTGCTTGATCCAGGCCATGGCCTTTTCAACCACCCACTATGCATCAGAGAGCTGGACAATGAATAAAGATTACAGAAGAATTGATGCCTTTGAGTTGTGGTGCTGAAGAAGAGTACTGAATATCTCATGCCAAAAGAATAAAGAGATATGTCTTGGAAAAAGTGTAGCCAGAGTACTCCTTGGAGACAAAGATGGTGATATAGTCTTTCATACTTTGGACATGTAGCTAGGTGAAGCTATTCCTTGGAAAAGGATATCATGCTTGGAAAGATGGAGGGTCAGCAAAGGAGAGAAAGACGCTCAATGAGATAAAATGATGCAGTGACTTCAGTAGTGGGTTCTAGAGGTCAGAGATGATGAGGATGGCACAGGATAGGGCAGGGTTCAGCTCAGCTGTTAATAGTGGTCATGTGTGTATGTGTACATGTGAACCAACTCATAGTTGATGATTTAGCAGGTTTTTGGAGGCTGTAAATGACATAGGAGATTGACCATCCCCCCCTCTCAGAGCCACTGGTTGATTCAAATCACCAAGGAGATTGCCTATTTTTTTTTCCTTTAGAATCACTGTTTGAGGGCCAGAGAGGTGTCACCTTTAGGTTAGTAGCACAACTCCCCATTGATTATGTCATCAAAACTCCTACACACATACATACACACGCCCCCAAGAGAGAGAGAGATCCGGTATTGCATGTACCTGGCAGTTCAAATCCATAAACAAGGTTGAAGGGGTTTGGGGTTTTTTTTTCTTGTTTCTTTGTTTGAGAAAGAGAACCCAGACTATGACATTTACTATCAAACTTTACAAAGAAGAATGTGGCATCAGGATTGTAGGAAGACTCATAACAACCTGTGTTATGCAGCCTTGCTCGCCAAAACCATGGAGAATTTGAAGTGCTTGCTGCAGAAGATGAAGGAGTGAAGCCTTCAGTATGGATTGCATCTCACCATCAAGAAGACAAAAATCCTCACCACCAGGCCAAAATAGGCAGCATCATGATAGATGGAGAAAAGATTGAAGTTGTTAACAAATTCATCTTCCTTAGATCCACAATCAACAATCTTGGCACCAGCAGTCAGGAAATCAAAAGCTGAGCTGCATTGAGAAAATCTGCTGTCAAGGACCACTCCCGAGTACTAAAGAAAAATGATATCAGTCTAAAGACTAAGGTGTACCTGATAAAAGCCATGGTCGTCTTAATTTTTTGCTATGCATCTGAGAGCTGGACAAAGACTAAGAATGACAGAAGAAGAATTGATACTTTGAGCTATAATGCTGTAGAAGAATACTGAACATACCATGGACTGCCAAGAGAATAAACAGATCTGTCTTAGAGAGGGTGAAACCAGGTTGTTCCTTGGAGGCAAGGATTTTGAAACTTCATTTCACATTCTTTGGGAAAGTTTTCAGGAGGGGCCAGTCCTTGGAGAAGGACAACATGCTTGGAAGGGCAGAAGGTCAGTGCAAGAAAGGAAGACCTTGGATAAGATGGATTGACACAGTGACTGGCAATGGTGTCAGGTATGTTGGAGATGGTGAGGTTGGCTCAAAATAAGGCAAGCTCCAGAGCCATTGCTCATAGGGTTACTTTGGGTTTAGCTTTTTCTAGGAGCCCAGATTTGGTTCCCCATCTCGGGAAGGAATGCATTTTGGGAACTCAATTATTTATTCTTCCTTTCACCTTCCTAGCCTTTGTCCTGGGTTTCCTTATCAGCGTTTACATTCTTCAGCCTTCCTTGGTCATAGATAGTCAGTCCCATGACTTTGAATACTATCTATATGCCAATGATTACCAAGTCTTTAATTCCAGACCCATCTAACTGCCTGACTGGCTGCTCTTTTTGAACATGTCCAAAATCAAACTCCTGAACCAGTAACCATCATCATTAGTCAAAAACCTAGGAGTTATTCTCACAAGCGTCACACTCACTCCACCCTAGTCCTTCCAAGGCTACTTCCAAATATGATATATCATAAATCTCACTTATACTGGCCAACTACTTTTACTTGTGTTATTGCAAAAGTCTTCTAACTGGTCTTTTGCTCCTCCCACTCTTGTTCCTCCTGTATTTCAGATCAAACTTTTTTATGACTTCCCACTAAGCTAAAAATAAAATTTATCTCCTTACCTTGAGTTTCAAAGCCTTATTATTCTCTTTATCCCCTCTTCTCCCATTCTACTTTCAGTTGCCATGAATGAGTGACATAGCCCCAAAGGTTCAGAAATATGCAAGCTAGCCTCCCTGTACCTGAGGAACTCACACTGCCTGGAATGTGCTCCTCTTTAGCCAGTATGCAGCTACATTCTTTTTATTCAAGCTTTGACTCAAATGTATTCTGTTCAGAGATGCCATTCAAACTACAGTACAGCACCCTCTTCCAATTCTCTGAATTGCACTTAGCACTTATCTAATATTTTCCTGTGTATTTATTACTTCTGCATATTGTCTATCTCTCCAACTAGAATATAAGCTCCTTGAAATCAAGGATCTTGGCTCTCTTTACCACTAATACCTAGTGCCTAGAACAACGCACAGATCATTGAGGTGATCAATTATATTCATCAATAAATGAAGTAACAGTCTAGGAGCAAGAAGATGGGGTAGACCAGTCACTCAGAATGTAACACTTTTCTAATGGTTCAAAGTATAATGATTCAGTGACTGAGTCTAATGGTTCAAAGTGTAATGATTGTCTTTTCTTTTACTTTTCCATAATTTTTGGACTCATGTACTTATAACTTGTTAGTCAAATTTGTGTCTTCTAGGTTGCAACACCCCCATGATACATCTTGAAGGATATGTACATGTACAGCCAAGCACAATCAATAAGAGTGCATCTGAATTCCAAAATCAATCTCCATAATAGTCTATGTGTTTCCTACTGCCAAAGGGGCCCTTTAGAGTAGTGAGAGAAGATCTTCACCCTGAAACCCACAGCGTCCCTTTTCAGCAGGAAGTAGCTAAGAGAATACGCCGTCCCCTTTTCCTTATGACTCAGGGTGAAGTCCCTCTCAGGGAGGAGTGATAGGGAATGGCAAAGGATACACTGACAAAGAAGATTAATCAGAACTGGCTTTGACAAGCACTGTGGCATTTGGACAAGAACAAACTGGGAGGAGGGTAGAGAGAATAGTGCAACAATGAATGAGTGGAAGCCCAAAATCTCTGTAAATGTTTATGAAAATTAATAAAATATAATTATAGAAAAAAAATAAAAAAAACCAAACAAAACAAAGTGTAATGATTGTAATGACTGAGAAGATATCTCAGCTTAGAGATCTGAATCTAGGAGGCAGAAAATATGGTGCTCTGTTCTAGAACGTTGGATTTGTAGTAGGGCTTTCATTAGAGTTGGAGAGTTTTTTGCAGTTTGATTTTGGGTAGTGGCTGAAGACACAAAATGAAGTTATAAATCTGAATGACATAAAATCAGTAGGGTGATGAGACAGGGCTTTTTCTAGGAGCTAAGCTATGAAGACTAGTAAAGATGGCACAGCTTGAGAGGAGCCACCTATGGTTCTTAGCCTGGGGGTTCCATCTATTCAGCTCCGTTCCTGAGTTCAGACTGAGTTTATTTTGGACTTCATACAACTTCACTCAGGGCCCAGTTTGGGAGTCAGCCTTGGGTCTCAGCTAGGGATTGGATTGCTCCCTTCGGGAGAATCCTTTCCGACATACTGTTCAGACTATGGGGTTCTAGCTGGGAAGGTCAAACTTGTGGACCTCTGAATGTCCAGTCTGGATACTCAGGCAAGGATCTCAACTTGAAGTTCATGTTGAAGAACCACTTCAGAACCACGATATGAAACTTTCCATTTGGAGATCCTATTCTGGGATGTCAATCATGTGCCTTAACGAAGGGGTTTTAGTTAGGAAACTTGCCTTGTGAATTAAGATTTGGAGCCCTGCCTCAGTGGTTTGATCTAGAGAGACCAATGTGAAACTCATAGTAGGGGGTGGGCAGTTAGGTGCATATACTCACTCTGGGCATCACTGCTGTCTGGAGAACCATGGGGTAGCTTTAACAGATAGTCTTTGAGAAGAAGCTCATAACGAGGGATGCGCTGCACAGGCTCCAACATATGATGCTGCAATGTCAGGTTACCACAGGCTTCCTCCTTCTATGACAGGCAGAAGTGGAGAGAGATTGTGTCTGGCTGTAAACCAAGTCCCCACATATATTTCCTCCATGAGCCTGCCCCATCTGGCTTGCTCACTTACCTGTACTTCATGGATGATGATCTTAAACTGTGTAGAGCGCTCTGTCCAGGTGTTGACCAGCTCCACAGCCCGGTCAAAATTCTTCACATACTCACCATACATCTTGAGGAAGGGTGCCAGCTTCTGCAGGATGTCTCCAATGCGTGGGTAGCGGTCCCTAGAGTAGAAGTGAGGGTTGATATGGTCCTGACAATCCGTTAACTCCCCTCCCCTCAAACTCTGCCACATAAGTAGTACCAAGCGGGCTAGTCTCATCTCTATCTTAGAAACCCACTTCTCAGCCAATATGCTCCTTTGTAAATGATGATTATATTAAAAGTTCATTAGCCAAAGAAGTTCAAAACAATTGCCTGGGCCACTGCATGCCCCAACTCTTCACTGTTCAAGCACCAGGAAAAATATGGCTTGGAATACCTATCCTGACTTTACTTCAAGGATCGTCTTATTCATTGATGATTATTATTGATTCTGTGCTCAGCCATGGCAATACAGAAATGAGCCATATAAAATAAAGCCTTAAGAGGGTCACTATCCTATAGAAGAGGCAAAGGAACCAGACCTGATCCTGTCCTCAAGGTCACAGTCATTGGAGCTACACGGAGACTAGGCCTGGTTCAGCCCTTTAGAATCATAGTTTGGTGGGGCCAACACAGAGACCAAAACCAATCTTCCCTTTGATGCCACAGTCTAGTGGGAAAGACACAGGTAGTTCTGTTATCTGACACTATGATCTGGTCCTCTTTCAGCCTTCAGTCTGATGATAGAGATACAGGAACTAGATCTGGTTCCAGCCTTCAGAATTCACAGTGTGGTGGGGAAGGCACATAGACTAAGCCTTATTCCAGCCCTCTTTATAGAAGAGTCTGTTGGGAAGACAGGACAGGGCACAGATACCTTCCAATTAGAGTGTCCAGATAAGGACATAGAAAGCTCAGAAGGAGGGATCTAACCTGGCCTGGAGATCAATGCAGCCTTCTTGGGAGAGGTGAGGCCTGCAGAATCGATCAGAGCTAATCAGTCAAAAGCAGTTGAGAGGTATTTCCGGGCAGAGAAAATAGAATGAGCAAACAATCTAGTCTTACTATATGCAAATAAGTAAGGCAGAACAGCAACTGATATGTTTGGGTAATGGAAAAGGCCTTTATACTGTGTGAGAATCAAGGAGACAATTTTAAGCACAGGAGTAGCATGGTATGATTGTGTTAGTAATAAACTTTCTGGTAGATGGTACAAATTCTAAAGAATGGAATGGAAGAGAAGAGCCTAGAACCTATAAACCCTACCATTCCATCTCAAGCCTCAGCTCAGGCATTTCTTTCTCCAAACCTCAGGTTGGATTAGGTCCATTACCTGGATTCCCACAGCTTCACATTCCCATCAGCCAGCCACTATCATAGCAGATAAAAATATTAACATCTCACATTTATCAAGCAACTATTAGACACTAGGTACTAGTTTATTCTCACTAAAGGTATCAACTTCTTTAATACTTAAAAGAACCCTACAAGATAGGTTATTATTATGATCTCTCTTTTATAGATGAGGAAACTGAGATGCAACAGCTTAAGAAATTTGCTCAATATCACATAGCCAGCAAGTGGTAGAACTGGAATTTGGATCAAGTAAATTTAGTTCCTGACCTAACATTCTGTTGCTAAAAGTGATGAAGACTTGAAGCACTTATTGATAAAGATCAAAGACTACAGTCTTCAGTACGGACTACAACTCAACATCAAGAAAAAAAATAATCACAACTGGATCAAGAAGCAACATCATGATAAATGAAAAATATTGAAGTTGTCAAGGATTTAATTTTACTTGGATCAATAATCAGCAGCACTCATGGAAGCAGCAGCCAAGATATCAAATAATGTATTACATTGGGCAAATAGACTACAGAAGACTTCTTTAAAGTGTTAACAAATAAAAGATGTTCAAGTGTTCCTGACTTAGGCCATGGTCTTTTCAATCATTCCATAAATATGTAAAAGCCTAATGAATAAGACTAAATGCTTTTGAATTGTGGTATTGGCAAAGAATATTGAATGTATCATGGGCTGCCAGAAGAACACATAAATCTGTCTTGGAAGAAGCCATAATGCTCCTTAGAAGCAAAATTGGTGAGAGTTTTTCTCATATACTTTGAACATGTTATCAGAAGAGACGAATCCTTAGAGAAGGGCATCATGCTTAGTAAAGGATCAGCAAAAAAAGAGGAAGGCCTTAAGTGAGATGAACAGGTACAGTGGCTGTAAGCAACATTGTGCTCAAACATAGCCATGATTATGAGGCTAGGCAGTGTTTCATTCTTTTGTACATAGAGTCATTATGAGTCAGAAACAACTCAAGGTACCTAACAAAAAAGTAACATTTTTTAAAATCATCTAAATATTGGTTTGTGCTCTACATTAGCTTGAGAGGACCTAGAAGGAAGAGCTAAAGCTTGGTTATTTTTGTGAAAGGCAGTAAGAGAGGACAGTGAGGAATGAACTCCTGAATACCCATCTGACCCTGGGACAGCAAATAAGTTTCTGGAAGAGCATACAGCCTAGATTTGAGGCCCCTCACCATTCCTCCATGCGTTTCTCTAGTTCCGGCAGCAGGAACTGCTGGTGGAAGCAATAGATGGAGCAGATGTTAGAGAAGATGCCGTGGACAACATCAGTCGGGAAAGAACTGCGGTTCCGAGCTTCTTCCAGCAGCCGGGCACAGAACACCTGTGGAGCAGGGCAGGAATGCTCAGCCCAAGTGGGTGTAAGGTTTGATTGGTGAAGGGGTATCTTAAAGGTGAAAGCCGTGCCTGTGGGAAACTTTCTGGGCCTTTAGTCTTGGATTGGAGTTAGGGTTATGTATGGGATTGGTTGCCAAGGTTAAGACTTAGAGTTAGACATTGGAACAATGAAAAGTCAGGATCAGGGTCAACATCAGAATTAAATTCAGGGTCAGAAGAAAGGTCAGATTCAAATAAATTCATTTAACAAATATTTTTCAGTGTCTACTGTATGCTAGGCACTGTCCTAGAGGCTGGGATGTATAGCGGTGAACAAAGCAGATAAAATTTCCTGCCTTTAGGGGACTTAGTGAATTTGGAGTAATAGAATAAAATTTAGGCTTAACAACAACAACAATCAGTTCATAGGCAAGAGTAAATTCTAGATCTGCATCAGAGTCAGTATTAGGGTCAGAGTTACATTCAGAGCTGAAGTATCATCCTGGGTTAGGCATAAGGACTGGTATGAAGATGAAGCTTGGGGTCATAATCAGAGACGCCCTCAAGGATGGAATGGGCATCAAGGTCAGAGAGGAGCCTTACCATATCTAGATTCTTGTACCAAAAATGGGGTTGGGCTCTGGCTATATCACTTCTTCCTTATAACCTACCTACAATTATCCTGGGCCCCTGAAAGGGCATTCACCTGATCCAGGAGATGGAGCCTGGAAACATAAGCCTTTTCAGTTTGAAGCAGCTCATTGGCAATGTGGAACACCTTCTGCTGCATGGTCAACTGGAAAGGAGAAGAAGCAACCCTTGACACATCACTCACCACTCTAGTCTCCAAGTCTCCAAAATTCTCTGAATGAACCTGATGGTACCACAAGATAATACTGATTCCCATCTCTGGACCCATAAGCCTCCAGATTCATCCCTCATTCCCCAGTATATTATAAATCTACCACTCAATTCTGATAACATGAACTCATTCACTCAGCCACCCATGCACTCATTTGTTCTCTCTATTCCATCAGTATTTGCTTAACAAGACAATCTTCCTGGGTTCAAATCCTAGTTCTAACATTCACTCAACTCAACAACTCATTGCTGTCAAGTTGGAACTAACTCATATTTGACTCTCCAGTGGATTTTCATAGGCTGGATGGGAAATCTCCTCCCATGTGATTAACTGCCTCTGAAAATTCACCAGAGGGTCTGGGTTGGTTCTGACTCGATGGTGCACAATAACAACAAATCACACAAGAGGAGATGCTCATCTTACTCCTGTATAGCAGCTGATGGATTCAAACCACCAGAAATGTGCTTCTTTTGGGTGATGCAACTCCGAACCCACTATGTCACCAGAGCATTGAGCTCTGTATGAAATATGTTTACGGCACTGAAGTCTATGGGGGAGAGAATAGTCTAAAAGTATTATATTTTAGGGCATTATTTTTATCGTAGGAGTACGCAATGAGGGTTGCAGAGTGGGTTATATTTGGGGGTAGGGGGTGGGGTTGGGGAGGTGTGGGGGGATTGTGTACCAATGAGGGAGTTTTTCTTTTGCTTTTCAAGGAGAGGAGCAAACGGGGGGGGGGAGGGGTTTGTGCGGGGAGAAGGGTGCAACAATGAATGAAAGGAATTCCAAAATCTTTGTAGATGTTCATTGAAATGAAAAATAAACTAAATTAAAAAAACAAAAAACAAAAAAAACTGAGATAATAGGATCTAAATAATCTTGTAGTTGTGATACTTAAATTATTTAATGCATATAAAAAAGGAGATGATATATTAAGTATTCTGTAAACATTAGTTATCTTTTTATTCACTCTCTTGGTTTACTGTCAGTCAGGAAAGGCTTTTTAAGTGCTTGGACTGTAAGGAAAACAGAGAATAAAAATGTATAAAATGAACTGCTGGTTGGCCCAATTTCTTATTGGTTAGGCATATACTTGCTGAGTATCTGCCATTTCAGCAGACCCTGGCTTCAGCCTCTACACTTAAGCTTGGTTCTCCACACTTGAGACCTAACTCAAGTACTAGAATGCCTTCTGAAGGTTGAGCTGCCAAGGTACACTAAGGATTCCTTGCTGCCAAAAATCCTTCATCTTCATAGCTTCGGCTGCTCCTGTGGGGGTCTAGTTCTTACACTTTTCCACCAGCTGTTGAGAATTCTCTTTGGTTGTGAGAGCATTGCTAATTTAACAACACCTCCATTTTACAAATAAGGAGACAGACGTGTGTGTGTGTGTGGGGGGGGGGAGGAACAGGGAGGGAAGAGACTTGTTCAAAGCTATTGAGCCATGAGATCTTCTAGCTATTACAGGTCTTTAGAGATCCCAAACAAGGGTGATCATTCTTCAAGATGGAAAAACTGAGACTTAGCTGGTGTCAGTGGTTTTTGGCTAAATATAGGGCCACTTCCCTAAGTGAATATTTGAAACTGCATAGTCAAAAAGACTTGAAGCATTTACTGACGAAGATCAAAGATCAGTAAGTATTGTACCTCAGTACCAAAAAACAAAAATCCTCACCACTGGACCAATACGAAGCATCATGACATATGGAGAAAAACTGAGGTTGTCAAGATTTTAATGTTATTTGGATCTACAATCAATACTCACGGTAAGAGTAGTCAAGAAATTGAAAGATGGGTTCCATTGGCAAATTTGCTGTCCAGGGCCTCTTTACCACAGGATAGCACAGTTTGGTAGGTGGAGGGAAGGGGTAAGGAAATGGGAAGGATCTGGGTGAAAAGACAGGGTAATGATGGGCAAGGTCCAAGGGTGATTAATTTTATGAAACATGATGCATGAGAATGATTGTATGAAACACAATGTGAATAAAGAATAGTGCGAAACACAATTTTTGTAGCTTTGTAATCAAATCAATTTAAAAAAGTTTAAAATAGGAAGAAATTTTTAAAAATTCTAAAGAGTAAGGATGGATATCAACTGAAAGACTAAGGTGTGTCTGACCCAAGCCATGGTATTTTCAATTGTTTCATATGCATATGAAAGTTGGAGGGTGAATAATGAAAATTGAAGAACTGATACCTTTGGATTGTAGTGTTGGTTAAGAGCATTGAATATACCATGGACTACCAAGAACAAACAAATCTGTATTGGAGGAAGCACAACTAGAGTGCTTCTTGGGAGAAAAGGATAGTGAGATTTCATTTCATATACTTTGGGCATGTTCAGAAGGCACCAGTCTTTAGAAAAAGACATCATGCTTAGAAAGGTAGAGAGTCTGTGAAAGAGAGGAAGACCCTCAATCAGACAGATTGACACAGTATCTGCAATAATTGGGTTTAAGCATGGCAGAGATTGTGAGGATGGCACAGGATAAGGTAACAGGTTTCAATCTGTTGTTCACAGGATCACTATGAATCATAGTCAACTCAATGGCACCTAGCAACAACAAATTGGTGTCATTGTGGTGGTCACCAGGATGGAAGAGGACTATGGGGGTTTGGTGCTAACCAGGGAGGCTAAATTAATAAAATTTTTAAAAAAAATTCTGTTTCAAGAAATATTTGGAAGAACTAAATCTAAAAACCAGACTCCTGATTCCTCTACACAGAAATTTTGCTTCTTAGTGAACATGGGTCAGTACCTCCACAGACTCCTGTCTTTCCATCGAGGATACTGGGATTTCTCTGTCCTTCTCTTCATCCTCCTCCTCTTCCTCATCCAGGTCACTGTCAACCTCTTGGGAGGTAGGCCAGTGGGGATCAGCCAAAGCAACAGGCATACTGGTCAGGGTAGGGGGCCCAGGGCAAAGATTGTGGCTGGGGGGTCCATCATCACTGACAAAGCAAGTTTCTTCACTGTTGGATGGTGAGCTGATGCTGTCAATTCCACTGTCCCGATTGGGCATCTTCTCACCATCTCGAGGCCCAGGAGCCAGCAGGAACAAGCAGTGAGATGCCTCACCTTCAGGGAGCTGAGTCAATGATGGCTGCAGAGGTGGTGGTGGCAACATGGCTGGCTCTGTGAGACCTGAACTAAGACCAAGGGCTGGCCTATCTGAGGCAACAATCACAGGCTCTCTGGAATGAGTGGGAGATACACATGGAAATAAAGTATGAGCTCCTGTTAGTCTCTTTCCTAACTTAGGCCCATCCTCACCTTTATTTCTGCAGAGACCAGACTCACCTTTCAAACTTCTCAATCAATGAAGATACTGCTGCAGAACTGGGACCAGCCTCCGCCCTGGAGGTCAGTCCCTTAGCCACTCGTGGGTCTGCAGGCAGTGGACGAGATGGCGGAGGGGGTATAGGGTCAGATGAGAGGAGAATCCGTGGCATCTGCAGGTAGCTGGGCTTTGGGGGCACTAGAGAGACATACGGGGACGTAAAAAAGAGAATCAAATAAACTGGATTTGAAAGTGGTTCTCATGACCAGGCCACAACCTCCTCCACAAATGTCCAGTAAGCACTTCTCCTTGAGATGAGTATAAAATGGGCCTGAGGTGAGAGCCTAGTGTACACAAATTAACCTCAAGCCACAACCCTCTGTTGTCAGGGTAGTTAGCAATGTCCCATAGACCATGGTGCTTCCCTGTACTTCTAACAAGCCTTTTCTGCCACTAGTCAACTTTCTCTTTCTTTTCTCCTTCCCATGTCTGTGCCCTTCCCTGGGCTATAGCATTTCCCTGTCCTTCTCTGGAACCACTTACCTTGTGGCTTTGGACCTGGTGCCCGCTTTATTGGTGAAAGATGATGACTTGGGGCTTCAACAGAGGAGCATGGATCTGAGCGAAGCCACTGGGAGCGTTCTGGATGAGGTTCAAGGTTCTGGCCAGGATCAAGAGACAAACTTTTAACCAGAATTCGGTTTCCTTGGTGCAATCCTGAAGAAAGGGAGAAACTGCATGTGAAGTGACTGACTTTACTCTAAAAGGGAATAGGAAGTTGTATATCTCAGCAAGCACCTGGAGTTTCTCAGAGCCTGTTTTCTGACCACATAGCTTTTCTGGGATGCTCACTTATCCTAGCCCTTAGATGGGAAGCCAGGACCAGGGTTATGGGTGGCTTCATTTTCATAAATAGATAAGAATTATTTGTAATTAGTACATTATTTTTTATGTAAAAATCATTATTACTAGGAAGTTGAACTAGACTTGGGTAGGGAAATGAGCACCCTAAAGTTTGTCCATGTGTTTGGAGCCCTTTTTTATACAGTCAAAACGGGTATACTGAGCATAAAATAATCTTTACCCTTATCTTTTAAGGCCCTGATGGTATCTGGACTCTGTGACAATTTTATACAGTTGAGTGTGATTAAAAATGATAATACTGCATTCCCAAGCAAGAATTTTGCTTCTTATAGTCCTCACTTCTCACTAATTTGTACTAATCTCTTATACTTCTATACCTACACATCTAGTACCCAGAATTCAAGTGTGGCATTGACTGGCAGGGAGCTGCAGGAACAACTTTAAAAGAGTAAGCACTAAATTCAGAAAAAAGGTGGCTTTTACATTTACATCCATCTCCTGTCACTGTGTGCCCCTTTAAATTCCTCTGTCTTTGGCTCTAGAGTAGATGATAACTACACTTGGAAGAAAAGACCCAATGAGCCTTCCTCCTTCTGTAGGGACATGCAGACATGTCCCTAGAGAAGTAGTATGGGGCCCAAGAAGTATTGGCTGAGTGTGGAATGGGTAGAAGGTCAGGTAGAAGGCAGATGGCAGGTAGGGCCAGAGAAGAAAAGAAAACCCATCCTGTGATCAGAAGTAGTTGTCGTGAGAGTCCAGAATGAAGGCTGCATAGTAGAGTGGACTGGGGGGAAAGTGGTGATTGTATAACAATCAAAGAATTTTTCTTTTACTTTTCAAAGAGATGAACGACCTGGGGGGGAGGGGTGGGCAGGGAGAAAAATGCAACAATGAATGAATGGAAATCCAAAGTCTCTGTAAACATTCATTAAAATTAATAATAATTAAAAAAAGAAGTTGTTGTTGTGTATCATTGATTCAGAACTGACTCATAGCTAACCCTCCAGGGAGTTTTCAGAGGCAGTAGATCACATAGGAGGAGACTGCCCATCTTTCTCCCACAGAGCAGCTGCTGAATTTGAACCACATGATTTTGGGATGGCAGCATGGCCCCTTACTACTAGGCTACCAGAGGGAGTCATAAAAGTCCTTGTATAGTGGAAGGATGTGGAGCTCCTGATGATGCAACACTAAAAATTATTTCTGAAGAAAGGCCTGGCCATCTACTTCCAAGAAATCAGCCACCAAAAACCCTATAAAACAAGGCAATTGGATTAGGGGAAGAATATAAAAGGGCAAAGAAGGTAGGTTAGGACAAGAGTGAGTTATAGTCAAGAATCCCCAGAGGTACCAGCCCATGGTGTCAGTTATGTCAGTCACATGACTTCTCATATCACTACATGGAGGCAGTTATTCTATCATATACAGTCTTATATATGACCAGTCACTAATAAACCTACTTAGTCACAAATACACATACTGTTGTACAATTGTGGCTTCACACAAATTCATACACCTAATATGCTAACCAGACTTCTGAAAATCTGATCACACACAGTCACATGACTCACAATCACAACCTCATATATTCATAGCCATATAACACATACTTAAAAATGTGATCATGTACAGTCACAAAGACCAAAGTTGCACAATGCCAACTATATATAGCCTCACATAATAATCACCCCAACACATATGGTCCTACTTACATACTCTTAAACATGGTCTTACTGAGTCACAGTACCATCCACAATGTGTCTCACAATCCCAGCGTCACGAGTTTCATATATTTTAACATGTTTCCAAACATAGTTACACAGTCACAAAGACTATAGCCACTCAGATCATACACAACTTCACACATGACAAAACAGCATAAAGTCACATACTACCATGTACTCAAAGACACAGATACAAAATCATATACATGGCATAGTTTATTATGTTATAGTCATAAAACATGACAATGGTATCCCTTGTCAGGCATGGATGAGGACACACACATACACATCTTTCCTCCCCCACTTCTCTTCATGGGGGGAGGGGAGATTAAAAAAGAAAGGAACCAGGAGAGGCAAGGTCATACCTCAGTGCTTCAGTGTGGCTAGGATAAGAAACACTAACAACCTCCACCTACAAGGAGATGAATAATAGTTTTGTTTAGGAGCCTAAGTCAGGACAAGAAACCAGGTCATGTTCCACTGGGAAAAGAAATGTCAAGATTCTTTCTCTTCTACTTCAGTATCCCCCTCTCTCTCTTATCCTTTTGCCTACATTTCCTTGTCTCCTCCACCAATGTCTTCTTTCTATGACACCTTTGGTCCTAGGTCTTTCTCCTTTCAGCTGATTGGATGAACTTTCTTACAGTCCAGCTAAGGTCATGAAGTTGAAGAAAGTTAAAATCAGTCCACTAGAAACAAAATACAACCATAAGCATATCACACCTGAGTTTAGAAACCATCTCAAGGATATATCTGAAATACTAAACACTAATTACCACAGAATAGATATGTTGTGTGAAGAAATCAAGAAATCAGAAAAGACAGAAGGGAAAAAAGTTAAAAAAAAAAAGGAGTCAGGAAAGAATGAAAAGATCAAAATGGATGTCAGAAGAGACTCAAACTTGCTCTTGAACATACAGAAACTAAAAGAAATTAATGGAATAAGAGAGAAGAACAGAATATTTCAAAGGGCATCTTGAGAAGACAAAATATAACAAAGTTTACGTTGTTGTTGTTGATTGCCATTGAGTCGAGAATGACTCATAGTGACCCTATGAACAAAAGACTTGAAGTCTTTCTATAACTATCATCGTTTATCAAAGTTCATAGAGTTTCCAGAGGCATGTTGTTTTGGAAGTGGATGCCACTTCTGCTTCCAAAACAAAATGTATAGAGATCTGGAAGCTGGAATTAGAAAACCAAAAGGGAAGAAAGTGCTCAGCATTTCTCAAGCGAAAAGAATAAAGCCTCAAGGTACAATATGAAGTGTTCTTTGGGCAAAATATTGAGTGAAACAGGAAGCATCAAAAGCAGATGAAAGGAATACAGAGAGTCACTGTACTGAAAAGAATTCTTTGACACTGAACCACTTCAAGAAGTAGAATATGATCATAAATCAATAGTACTGCAGAAAGAAATTCAAGTTGCACTGAAAGCATTGGCAAAAAAAGGCTCCAAGAATTGATAGAATACCAACTGAGTTGTTTCAGCAAACAGATGCAGCCCTAGATATGCTCTACAGTCTATACAAAGAGATTTTGGAAGACCTGGCCAGCTGGCTGGAAGAGATCTGTACATGTGACTATTATAAATTTTAAAAAAGATGTTCCAACATAAATTATCAAACTATTATTACTATTACACAGAAATAAAATCTTCCTGAAGATTATTTAAAAATGGCTGGAGGAGTACATGAACAAAGAAGTTCAAACTAGATTCAGAATAAGCTATGGAATTAATGGATACTTGTACAAAAGCAATTAATGGTCTGTTCTGCAAAGTCTGTTTCTTGGCCTTGCTCTGACTAAAGATACTGAATTGCTTCACAGTCTCTTTCCACAGACGATGCTGCTGATTTGACTCTTGTGTCCTCCATAAAGCTAGGCACATGTGTTAGTCATCATTTAGGTTTTTTTAAAAAAAATATATTTGCAGTGAATAAGGCATTTGTTGTACAAAATTCTACCATTCTATCTCTGGCCTCATTTCTATCACTAAGGTCATATTTTTCCAGCTACCAATCCTTCTTTTTTTCCCCCCAAGTTTTGCCTTCTAATCACTAGTTATTATTAATGCAACTTGATTGCTTCTTTGATCAATTTTAGACTGCAGAAGTTGGTAGAAATCATCAATTTATTAATCTTTGATCTTAGTCTTTGGTGTGTGTATTTGAATAATTGTCATATTAACAGATCTTCCCTGAATGTATATGGATATTATCCTATGACTGTCAGCATTATACTTCATCCTTAAATATTCTTTTGTCCATGAATGCTATACCATTCCTCTTCAATTTGTCATTCAAGCATTGTAGACCAATTCACAATTACCAGTTCCAGTACATTTTAGCTCACTAATGCTTGAGATGTAGATCTTTATGTATTCCATTAAATTTTTGATGACTTTCCGTTTTCCTAAATTCATATTAATACAGTCTATATTCCAGTTATTAATGGATGTTAGTAGCTGTTTCCTCTCATTTTGAGTTGTAAATGAAGGCCCTTCAATGGCTGAAAGCTTTACTCCATCCACGCCATAAGGGCAGATTCTACTTTGCAGAGGCAGCTCTTCCTCAATTGTATTTTTTTTTATTGATTAATTTATTTATTTTTCATTTCAATGAACATCTACAGAGATTTTGGAATTCCATTCATTCATTGTTGCACCCTTCTACCTGCCCCTTTGCTCCTCTCCTTGAAAAGCAAAAAAAAAAACCAACTCCCTCATTGGTACTCAATTGTATTTTAAGTGCCTTCCAATCTGAGGGCTTCATTTTCTGGCATTGTATAAGACTAAAAAGTACCCATTATTTCAGAAGTGGATAACCAATCCTGTTTCCTAGTTTGTCTTAGTTATTTGAAATACCAGTGGCATAGCCTCGAGAATTACAAGCTAACACAACACAAAAAAATTTGATAGACACATGGTGGTTAAAACTCTTTTCAAAGGTTTTTTTTTTCTTTTGTAGGTTCCCCCCACTTTTGGTTGTTGTTGTTATTGTTTTGGAATAAGCAAAAGGAGGGATGCTTTCTCTTGAAAAGCAAAAATAAGACTTTGTAGGACTGCAGGCACATAGGTGCCTGGACATTGCCTGAATGGATATTAAGTAACACATACTTGTATATATAA